CTAAAACAAGGACTGGCCGGCTCAGAGTCAGCATACTGTATCTGAGTGGGGTATTCCTCTTAGATACCCCCTTTCACATAGAAAAAGAACTCAAGTATCCATGTAGCCTTCATTTAAGTTGGATAGTCAAAGTTTGCACAGGGTTCACTTGGCGCCGCCTTCTATGTAGTCCTGAGATAGGCATTTAGAAGTTTGAAGAACATGATAAATACATGACACTTTATATAAGAACTTCTTATATTCTTGTAACGACGTTGCAGATCTACTTCTTGCCCCTTCTTCAGGTGAATACTGTGTGTATTTTATTGGGGCGTCCTCGGGTCTTAACGCAGAGAAGGTATCGCATCGGAGTAAAATATCCGGGGTTCCCTGTCTGATTGCGCCCCGGGTGCAGGTTAAAGAGTTACATGGTTGCATACTGCGTTTTGAGCTTGGGAATGTGAGAAAAAAGACTTTGAATGTCTTAAGCTCTGTTCATCTTTGAGATGTGTACCGATCTTGAATTGTATTGTACAATAATACGCCACTTGAGAGAGATAGCTTTGAAAAGTCAGGCCCGAAGTCAAACCCTCCACTAACTGGCCAACATCTACATGCGTGCAGAGTATTTGCTGAGAAAAGTATATATATACCTTACACGTGTCTGGATCTGCAGATCTATGATACGAATCCAGATTCGCCAAGATATGCTTTTAGTTTTCTCCTTTAATTTGTCCCTCGTGAAGAATCTGAATCTGTGTCATTGATGACAGTGACTCCTCCTCATTGCTTTGTAATGGGGGTGAATCTGGATTCGTATCACAGATCTGCGGATCCAGACACATGTAAAGCATCTTGTGTTTGTCACCAAGTCAAGGAAAACGTTGTTGAAAGTTTTGAAGTATGTCTTCTGAAAATGTAATTACTTTAAACTTTGAAATTCACATTTAGGTGCTTAAACTCTCGGGTGTCCATATGTATAAACAGCGTTTGCTTGTTGCGCTTGAAAATATATGTTCTGTCCCAGCATTGGAATAATAATTTCTCCTTTTACGCCGCTTGAAACTGTGTTATATTAAATTTTGTAAAGGTTTGGGTATTTGGCTGACAGACCAAGTATCATAATCAGAAAAAAAGATTCGAACCTACAACCAACGGAATCAGACACCGATGTGATGACATTCATTCGTAAAATTTAATGACATTGAATATTTCTGTATTCGAGTAGACAATACAAAGTGGCAGACAGACTTTTTAAATGGGTACTAGGCACGTTCAAACATCACCGTGTCTGCTGACCGCCTCCGTGGTGTAGTGGATAGAGCTTCTGCCCGAAGAGCGGAAGGTCGGTGGTTCGATTCCCTGGCAGCGTTATACCGAAAGATGGTACTTGCTGTTGCCTGACGCTCGGCATTAAGGGGATAACACAAGGGCTGATCGGATCGGGTTAGCATACTGTGTCTAAGTGGAATATCCATGTTGAAATGCTGCATGCATCTCAGTGGACTAGCACTACAAAAACTGCCATAAGTCCGTACACAGGTGTTTGCAGGTCGATGTATATATGAAATAATATTAAAGGTACTTTTATTACTTTAACCTTACCTCACCTGGGTCAGCCAACGTCCGCTTTAGTGTTGATCCCAGTTAAAACACCGAGGCAATGCATCAATATCACTCACGGCACTTATTACCTCTAGAACTAAACTCGAGTTGGCACCAAAACTGTGGAGCATAGTCCAGTCTTGGAAGGTAAATTGTATTTATGCTATATTTATATCAAGGTCTCATCTGTGGGGGCGGTCGGGAAGCCTAGTGGTTAAAGCGTTCGCACGCCACGCCGAAGACCCGGGTTCGATTCCCGACATGGGTACAATGTGTGAAGCCCATTTCTGGTGTCCCCCGCCGTGATATTGCTGGAATATTGCTAAAAGCGGCGTAAAACCATACTCACTCACTCACTCATCTGTGCTCGTAAAATTAAGTATTGTCTGTGACCGCCTCCGTGGTCTAGTGGTCGAGGATCCACCCGGAGAGCGTTAGGTCCAGGGTTCGATCCACGACCGTGTCTTACCCAAAGACGTTAAAAGATGATACTTGTTGTTACCCTGTCTGGCGCTCGGCATTAAGGGGCTAAAACAAGGACTGGCCGGCTCAGAGTCAGCATACTGTATCTGAGTGGGGTATTCCTCTTAGATACCCCCTTTCACATAGAAAAAGAACTCAAGTATCCATGTAGCCTTCATTTAAGTTGGATAGTCAAAGTTTGCACAGGGTTCACTTGGCGCCGCCTTCTATGTAGTCCTGAGATAGGCATTTAGAAGTTTGAAGAACATGATAAATACATGACACTTTATATAAGAACTTCTTATATTCTTGTAACGACGTTGCAGATCTACTTCTTGCCCCTTCTTCAGGTGAATACTGTGTGTATTTTATTGGGGCGTCCTCGGGTCTTAACGCAGAGAAGGTATCGCATCGGAGTAAAATATCCGGGGTTCCCTGTCTGATTGCGCCCCGGGTGCAGGTTAAAGAGTTACATGGTTGCATACTGCGTTTTGAGCTTGGGAATGTGAGAAAAAAGACTTTGAATGTCTTAAGCTCTGCTCATCTTTGAGATGTGTACCGATCTTGAATTGTATTGTACAATAATACGCCACTTGAGAGAGATAGCTTTGAAAAGTCAGGCCCGAAGTCAAACCCTCCACTAACTGGCCAACATCTACATGCGTGCAGAGTATTTGCTGAGAAAAGTATATATATACCTTACACGTGTCTGGATCTGCAGATCTATGATACGAATCCAGATTCGCCAAGATATGCTTTTAGTTTTCTCCTTTAATTTGTCCCTCGTGAAGAATCTGAATCTGTGTCATTGATGACAGTGACTCCTCCTCATTGCTTTGTAATGGGGGTGAATCTGGATTCGTATCACAGATCTGCGGATCCAGACACATGTAAAGCATCTTGTGTGTGTCACCAAGACAAGGAAAACGTTGTTGAAAGTTTTGAAGTATGTCTTCTGAAAATGTAATTACTTTAAACTTTGAAATTCACATTTAGGTGCTTAAACTCTCGGGTGTCCATATGTATAAACAGCGTTTGCTTGTTGCGCTTGAAAATATATGTTCTGTCCCAGCATGGGAATAATAATTTCTCCTTTTACGCCGCTTGAAACTGTGTTATATTAAATTTTGTAAAGGTTTGGGTATTTGGCTGACAGACCAAGTATCATAATCAGAAAAAAAGATTCGAACCTACAACCAACGGAATCAGACACCGATGTGATGACATTTATTCGTAAAATTTAATGACATTGAATATTTCTGTATTCGAGTAGACAATACAAAGTGGCAGACAGACTTTTTAAATGGGTACTAGGCACGTTCAAACATCACCGTGTCTGCTGACCGCCTCCGTGGTGTAGTGGATAGAGCTTCTGCCCGAAGAGCGGAAGGTCGGTGGTTCGATTCCCTGGCAGCGTTATACCGAAAGATGGTACTTGCTGTTGCCTGACGCTCGGCATTAAGGGGATAACACAAGGGCTGATCGGATCGGGTTAGCATACTGTGTCTAAGTGGAATATCCATGTTGAAATGCTGCATGCATCTCAGTGGACTAGCACTACAAAAACTGCCATAAGTCCGTACACAGGTGTTTGCAGGTCGATGTATATATGAAATAATATTAAAGGTACTTTTATTACTTTAACCTTACCTCACCTGGGTCAGCCAACGTCCGCTTTAGTGTTGATCCCAGTTAAAACACCGAGGCAATGCATCAATATCACTCACGGCACTTATTACCTCTAGAACTAAACTCGAGTTGGCACCAAAACTGTGGAGCATAGTCCAGTCTTGGAAGGTAAATTGTATTTATGCTATATTTATATCAAGGTCTCATCTGTGGGGGCGGTCGGGTAGCCTAGTGGTTAAAGCGTTCGCACGCCACGCCGAAGACCCGGGTTCGATTCCCGACATGGGTACAATGTGTGAAGCCCATTTCTGGTGTCCCCCGCCGTGATATTGCTGGAATATTGCTAAAAGCGGCGTAAAACCATACTCACTCACTCACTCATCTGTGCTCGTAAAATTAAGTATTGTCTGTGTATTTCAATTTACTGATAAACAGATACGATAAGCTATAATAAGCAATTATATCGAATGACTTGTGTTTTCGTCCGCCAGATGGTCATTAATACTGTTTTGCAAAGTCCAGAACAAAAGCGCTTTGATTAATCAATCGTGTATTTGCGATACACACTTAAAGCGTCATTAAGAAGACATTGGGCCAGTCCGCGCTTCTGTTCGAAACTAATATATTGTAATTTGCTGGCTATTAACTCAAATATATTTTTTGTTTTGCTTAATTGTGCCTATATGGGGGGTCAAATGAGGCAGGTTGTTGATGTAAAGATCCTTTTAACTTTAACTGAAGTATTGTTTTGAGGGCACAGGACTGATGGGAAGCTAATAGCAACTCGGCAGCACTTTCCATCACAAACAAGTCGTATTGTCACACCTGAATACCAAGTATCCATCTTGCAGGAATGTGATGTTTTGTGGAACCCCTGTTCAGGCTAGAGTGGCCATGAGATCAATAGTCATCACCGCAGCATTTCTGTAATCTACATTTGTAGCCCTCGAGATTTGTGATCATACTGATTGCTGTGCCTTGATCATAACAAATAAACGGTGGTGAATAGTTCTCAAGCTCATTGTATTCCTCGTTACCTGGAGGCTCCCCATTGTTTTGTAGGAAGGATCAGAATTCATATCATGATCATCTACAAAACTCGGCATCAGGAACAAACAAAGGCAATTTATTTCTTGTGCAGTATCCGATTAATACGTTCTGTACATTGATTGCAAACATGTTGTTTTGTCAAGTTTTTTTTCTGTTCTGGGGAATAATTCTCTGGGACGCTTTCCTCATTGATTTGTAGAAGAACCCAATGGCCGTTGTACATTCGTTTTCCCATGTGACTCTCGGGATTGATATCGAGTGTAGTACCAGTAGAACATATTACACTTTGGAAACTGGAGACACGAGAGTGGTCTTTCCGTCCTACAGGGCATCACATTGTGAAGTTCCTGAAAGGTAAGCGAATATATCCTACACTGCACATGTGATGTAATTTTACTTCATACACAAAACATAAAAATGGAAAGTGAAATTTCGATGTAGGTGTTCATTATGTGCCGACCATTTGCCATTCTTTCTGCATTTTTTTAATTTAATTGCTGTAAGAAACCCAAATATCGTTCAGTTTAACAAATTGTTACACTAGTCATTCTGGATGTTCTGGAAACAATGATCTGTCTCCTTTTAAAAACAATTGTATATCCTGAAGTGCTGACCGAATAAATGGTGGGTCCCTTAAACAATATTGACATGTTAATGTTGTTCTGAGAGGTAATTTCTAAGTTTGTCGAGTTATGTGCTGCATTTTCCCGTTTCTCACTTCGTCTGTTTTCTCATCTAGGGATAACACGGATAACGTAATGGCTAAGAATGGGAAGGTTATCTGCTTCTGCATAAGTCTTCTCCTCGCTGTCTGTTGTGTGCCCATCGCTGACTGTGCAATGGCTTCTGATGTAATTCGGTTATTCGAGGACAAAATCAACAAAAACAATTTGAACGTGAAGCCCCTTCTTGACCAGACAGAAACGATGCATGTCAACTTATCTTTCAACCTGGTCTCTATAACAGAGTTCAATGAAGTCGATCAGCGTTTCTCCTGCAACGCCTGGCTGGATGTGTATTGGAAGGATGAACTTCTTGTGTGGAATTCTTCGGAGTACGGTGATCTTCAAATGGTGTGGCCACCCAATGACAAAGTGTGGAGACCAAGCCTTGCGGTGGCTAACATACATAATGACTTCAAAACACTTGAGATAAAGTCCGGTATCGTCATGGTAAAGCATGACGGCAGTGCCAAATGGGCTCCAGGAGAGGCCTTCCAGACCTTTTGTAAGGTTGATATTTCAAGCTATCCTTTTGACAAGCAGCGTTGTGACATCGAATTCTTCATCTGGGGTATGGGACTAGAGGAGGTCGTCCTTCATCCCCTGCATGACGGAATTAACACTGACGCCTATAAGAAGAACGGCGAATGGGACATCCTTGCCACTAAAGCCCACCAAGAAGTGCGAGGTACCTCTACGATCATGTCCATGATTGTCATATCGTTCCTGCTAGAGCGACGCTCCTTCTTCTATATCCTGAACATCGTCATGCCCGTCCTCGTCCTCTCCATCCTCAACGTGTTCGTATTCCTCATCCCTGTGGAATCTGGAGAGAAGATATCTTACGGAATAACAGTCCTGTTGGCATTTGGCGTCTTCATGAGCTTCATCTCCGACATGCTCCCTCAGACCTCAGAGAGCATCTGCATGCTGGCCGTCTACATGGCCAGCCTCCTCATCCTCAGCGCCGTCTTCGTCTCCCTGTCCATCATCATCACCCGCCTACACCACAAAGAGTCGTTTGGAGACCGAGTTCCAAAGTGGATACAGAATGTCACCATTGCCCTCGAATGCCTGTCGTGCAAGAAAAGGAGAAGGATCAAGCCTAAAGATTACGAGGTTCGGCGTGGGAAGGAAAAGGTGCTTAGCGATGAGGTCATCGTTCAGCAGGCTTGGGAGGACAATGATCCCGTCACCTGGACCAGAGTCAGCCGAGCTCTGGACAGCTTCTGTTTCCGTTTCTTCACATTGGCAATCTTGATCGTAACAGGTCTTGTCATGGTCAAAATGAAGTATGGAGGAAACGAGATGACCATTGACTCTAAGATACATTAAGAATGTACTTAGTTTTGCCTGACCAAAACACGACCTGACAAATTTGGATTGCTCTTCACCATTCAGTGATATCCCCGCAACAGAAAGCGTCAAATTATCGGCAAACATTTTATCCAGTGGGAAATTCGATTGGAAAGCGTGTCCTTGGCATAACGGAACGCTTAATACTTAACCACTCCAATACCCCTCCGTCCTAAACCTTCAGGAGGTCGAGGAACTAGATGTGAGTCGCACATTTTCAAAAACCATGAACATAGAACATAATCAATTAAATGCATTTAAGAAAAAAAGTTTTTTATCATAATCCAGTTGCAAACGATTCCGTGGTATTTGATTGGCTAACCAAGCGCATTTTTATGCAAACATCAACCACTCCAAGTGTCCTGATTGGCTGATTATAGAACGTTGCAGTATGCTGCACGATGTTTTCTACAGTAACTGTTGTTTTTGTGACTGTCTAAACCATTAAATAAGCAGTCTGTAAAGTTATTATTGTTGACGTACGTTTTATTTATTTTTTAGAATTGACTTAAATATTGTTTGCACGCTTTTTTTATAATTCGTTATATGTTTGTTGCAGGCCAAAATGGCGAGTTATATGTTTACACACAAGATAACCGAATATAGGAATATTTAATATGTTTCGAAAAAAGAAGGTGCCTAAATATTGTAAATTGTAGACATAATTGATATTAAGGGACCATCAAGTGTAAAGTAATGAAGTGTTGTTTCAAACATTAAAAAAGGGTCCATATTAGTGTTTCGCTGACATTAATTATCACGTTCATTGTTCTCCGTCCAAGATGAACTCGCTGGATAAACATATAGCTTCACATAAACCATTCTTCGTCTGCCCACGTTTATTATCGAGGTTCTTTGTCAATGTTTAGCTACACCGATCACACCGAGACCAAATACATATATACATAATATACTGGTCCATATTGATTCTGGTGTACCTGTATTGTGGCATGTACAACCTGGCAATTATCACGGAATGCAGACTTTAGAAAGAAGATATTTGTATTTGCTGTCGGTAAATACGTGATGTGTTGAAATACGTTAATTCATGATTACATTTATTAATTATTCTACTGAATGTTTGCACCACTTAGCTGTACAATGAATCTACTTTGTACGTGTAGTCAATGTGACAGACTTCTTACATTTACTCACATATATGTATTCATGTTATTAGGATTTTAAGGTTTTGTTGAAAAACAAATTGTTCTAGATCACACCAAAGCCAATCAATTTTTTGAAAATACTTGTTTTCTGTGCATGCTTGGTGACCAGATGTGATGAGAAACATAGATGAAAATTATATACATCAATCCATCCTCCAGATGTTATTTACAAAAATACGTGAATTTCTTTACATCATATATTAAGTTCTCAGAGACAATGCGCCAATGTTTCACAGATGCCAGTAAATGCATTGTCTTGACTAACGTCAATGAAAGAGAATAACCAGTCTTGACACAATTCGCATAAATTAGGAAAGTAATTATTAAAGAAATGGGCAGCAGTTTGTCAAGCATAATCTCTCCCGAACCCAACATATAAATGTGAAATACGTGACTTTTATGTTGATGTCTAGTTTGCACAACCTAGATCGTGAATTATACAAGACAACGTAAATGTTTACTGTGAAATGCTGTGTGCTTTTCAAGGAATAAAATATGTCTAGCATCGTCTGTTATGTATTGATTTAACTACATCAATTCAAGGCCTAACCTTTCGCTAATAGACACACACTCTTCAAAAAAAGAAACGCACAGGTAGATTTTGACTAACTTTATTATACCTAATAAAGTCGATATATTTAATTTAATATCATAGATATATGAAAATTTGGAGCTCGATAGTCACATGTCGTCGTTGTACAAAGGCATTGGAAACTGTTCATTGTCATGTCACATCAGGCCACAAGGTTGCGCTGTACTCAGTATCTCGTGTGACCGCCCCAGGCAGCAATCACGGCTCTGCATCTCCTCGGCACTGACTGGACAAGTGTACGAATTCTGTCCTTCGGAATTCTGCGCCATTCTGCTTGTAACGCGTTGGCCAGTGGTGGAGATCTCGACGGCCACTGCGAGGCACGGGCTTGTCCTGTTGAAACAGCTCCATCTGGCGGTGAATGATTGGAGGAAGGTGGGGTTGAAGAATTTGATTCGTGTAGCGATTTGCTGTCACATTTCCCTGAACCACAACCAAGTCGCATCTCGTGGTGTAGGATATGGCCCCCACACAATTACACTACCGCCACCAAATTTGTTGAATTCACGTACACAATGTGGGGCAAAACGCTCATTTCGAGCGATAAACTCGTTGTCTTCTATATCGCCGGTGAAGAAGAAATCGGAATTCATTGCTAAACCACACTCGTCCCCAGTTTCTCAAATTCCAATGTTATAAGGTATAGCACCAACGCAAGCGTGGCTGTCGATGGATCTGTTGCAAAACGAGGGCCGGATGTTCCGATCGGCAGCGCTGAGTCTCGGCATTTTCGAACTTGAAAAGTGTTGACAATTAAATGACAAATTATTGGCTTATGCTTGCCTTTTTATAGCTACTACCACGAGTTACGAATGCCATATCTTGCACGTGCGTTTGCTTTACTGTTTTCTTCCATGTTTGAATAAGTGTGAAAACAATGCTGTTTGAATATATATTTATTATTGACATTAAGGGAAAGTTGGCTACAGGAAAGTTGAAATCATCCCTCTTGTCATACATTCTTGTGGGTAGTTTTTTTTGTCAATCTTTATGCATCTAAATATGAAACAGTTGATGCGGTTTACCTGTTCTCTTTTAATTCTAGCTCAGGTTGGTAAATCAACGGAAGAGGATATGCTATTTGTCCGTTACTGAATGATATCAGATCATCCATACGTCATGAGCACAGTTATGAATGCGTGTTCCAGGGCTCGGTAGTGAGTGTGTATGTGTGATCACACAGATCCGACAATAATGCGCACGTCCCTTGCACATAATCATGCTACATCGGAACAGTCTATATACATTGTACGCCCGAATACAACGCAATCTCCATTTCCGAGACACTGTCCTTCTGACTGGACGACCAAGAGTGGTTCCTGTTGATGACGTCGCCGTCAAAATTATGTCCCTGAGGTGGAGAACCCCAAGGTAGCGGTCCTTGTTGGACCTGGCCACGGGTGGTCTGTCCCTGGCACTAGTCTATAGGTCTAGTTTTTTGTAAATTCCTATACTATATGTCGATGTGACAGTGCTCATTGGAGATCGTCCTGGACGTAAATTTCATTTTTTCCGTTTAAAGTCATTTTTTAAGTGTTCATCAAGGTATTTCCTATGAAATGAACCTTTTCACAAACGGCCATGTTTGCTGCGTTTGATTGAAGTCTAACTATAATTCTATATAATGCAGCGTTTTCTTGAATTTTGGTGTTGTTTCATTCGCACTTTATATTCCAAACTTGCGTTTGTCTTTCAGAGATACCTACATGTACATATGGCATTAATGTCATTTTTGCTAAAGTTGCCATAAAGTCATAATACGAGGGAGTGAGTGAGTTGGTTTTAACGTCACTTTTAACAGTATTCCGGTTATTTCACGGCGTGTTGGCTTTATGTTAGAGGAAACACCGAAGTGATGCAGGTCTCAGACGTAGAAACCCACGAGCACGGGTAAGGTTCTGACAAACCTGGATGGTTTTCTGGCCTGCCCAAGGGACGCAACTCTGCACAGCAAATTGCGGCGCCTTAAAATTAGACGACTGGGCCACCCGTGCCTCCTGTCATAATTTGCAATTTTTACAAGAAGACGTAAGTTACTTTTCTAGATGATTGCACGTTCTATCATATGATACGCAATGAGCAGAGTCAAATAACTATTGCTATTTGTTCACATATCATGCTTTCAATTTCTGTATTTCAATACTGCAAACATAAACAAAATCGATGTGTTTCGTCAGAGAATCAATGCAGGATACGATTACAAAATATCTATTCAATGTGGAGGTGTATAGTTAGCGGTGCTTAAATATTTACAAGGTGCATATATGGCCCGAGGCAATAGATACATGTACAATACTACCGACTTAGATATAGACACTTGTCCTAATGCAAACTATTCAACTCAAAAACAGTTAAAGACCACCCCCTTCTTTCATATTACTATAGTTAGACAGCCATGGCATGGGGTGAGGTGAGGTGAAATGGGTTTTAACCTCGCGTCCAAGGTTATTGCACTTATATAGCGACGTGCATGCACGTGTATGTATGTGTGTGGCTGCTTGTACTAGTCCGGACTGATGCCGATTTATAGTGCCAGCTCACTGAGATACCATGCCGCAGTACATGAATACCCCACTCAGACACAGTATACTGACTCCGAGCCGACCAGTCCTTGTTTTAGCAAATTAATGCCGAGCGCCAGACAGGGTAACAATAAGTACCATCTTTTAACGTCTTTTGGTATGACGCGTTCGGGGATCGAACCCCGGACCTTCCGCTCTCCGGGCGGACACTCTATCATTTGACCACGGAGGCAGCCCCATGGCATGGGAGATTAACAAAGGTAATATGAAAGATTCGGGTGCTCTTCAACTTTTTCTTCTAGTATATATAATTACCTGCAGAGATACATATATATGACACTCTCACTGCAGTCCACCTCCTTTAGGGAACTTTGACAACATTCCTCTATTTCGAATTCAGTGCAAGCCAACATTCAAACAAGCGGAAAGATTTGACTCATGTAGTTAAAACCCCATTCTTTGGTCCGACCGACTCCGAGGTCTAGTGGTAGAGCGTCCGCCCAGAGAGGGAAACAGGAAAGAGGGATTCCCGCCCGCGTCATACCAATAGACGTTAAAAGATGGTACTTGTTGTTACCCTGCCTGGAGCTTGGCATTAAATGGCCGACTCAAGGACTGGTCGGCAGAGAGTCAGTATACTGTGTCTGAGTTTGGTATCATGTTCACCTACGGCACAGTATCTCAGTGAGCTAGCACTATAAAATCGGCTTAGTCCGGACTAGTACAAGCAGCCACACACACACGGGCATGCACGTCGGTATATAAGTGCAATAATCTTTTACGTGACGTTAAACCCAATTCACCTCATTCTCCTTTGGTCCTCTTCACAAGAACACTTTGGGCTCATTTTGAGAAATAAAAAGCATCTGTATCTTGTTCTCTACCGTAAAGGGTCACATTATTGGTGCGTGTTTGAGTGCGTCAATTGATCGGAAACATGACTGAATCGGGAAGGTGACACATACCAACGTGAAAGAGTAGATGGGAGTCAAGTTCAGCTTCCTATATTCATCTTACACTGCTATCTGTCGCATAGCGGCCTCACATACCAGTTGATGGCGCTGACAGCTAACCCCAATGAGACACACACCTAGAGGAGCATCTGTATTCGTGCTGAATCCTTAACTTACAGCATTGCTAAGCAGTACACACATGTAAGATATCGGTACTCTTGAAACTGTATGCTTCAATTTGACCAGGATCATCGCCCATCACGTCCACCGTGAGGAATATGAAATATATAATTCTCCTTTGTGCACTTTGTAATGTAAGTACTTGAACCATTAGTTTCAAAATAATTCGCTAACATATTTTGCAATACTTCGCAGTATAACTTGTTACGTGCTGATCGTACTGATGTCATATAGTCATGACATAGGCTTCTAGATTGTCTGTTTGTTTGTTGAGAAACGCCGCACACAGCATTATTCCAGCTATATGACGGCGGCCTGTAAATAATCGAGTCAGAACCAGACGATCCAGTGATTGATATTATGAGAACATTCTAGGCAGTCGGACTACGATGACACTGTATCATATATGTGACCGATCCTGACCAACCGATCCATTAGTAGTTTTATTCAACTAGAATACGTTGCTGGGGACGTGTTATAACCCAGAATCCACATGGGTTCCTAAAAGTGTTATTGCGCTTGCAAGTGAATGTCAGTTGTATGTATAAATGCATTCCTCCAGAAAGAGATGTACTATGTCGCTATTCTTCACTGTGTTTATATTGCAGTTTGCAGAGAGTGCCAGTAATCCTGAAGTTAAAGGTAAACCGGTTTACTGTTTAGTTTTTGAAAATGTACTTACTCTCAAAAATGCTGTGAGTGACTTTACACTTATACCTGTGAATTTATTATTATAACGTTTAGAGTATCTTATCTCACACCACTAGTTACTCGGATCTCAACTTCAGGGTTCATCGAGTGGTCATTCCCAGCGCTACCTACTCTAAGAACAAGGTTTACATGTTCGCTCTATTCTGTGAACCTATCTTTCAACCATCTTACCGAGGCAAGGGAGTTAACTGACTATAAAAACCCAGTTTCCACCCTTGCCGAACAAGGCGAGTTATATTTTCGCGTTACGAAATCGACACCCGGGTCGTAAACTGCGGTGCAGATTTCTGTCGCTTGCAGGAATTGCAAAGCATGTTTAACTCCCACTCGGGATCAACAGAAATTTCCAAATCTTTTCATGTTTTTAATTAAGGTGCTCACGTGATTTGATGCACTTCGGGAAGTGAGACCCGTTTTATCACAATAGGGATGTTGATTATCGATCAGATCGTCTTGACTGGGCGCCACCATTTTATTTCAAGCACATGCAAGTGATATGAGAGGCGGAATCTGATTGGTCAATAGGAGGGACATGGAGGGACGCCACTGGTGGCGCTACCACCGAGCCCAGAAATTCCAGCCTAATTTGGCAAGGGTGTAAACTGGCCTTTTATAACTCCCTTGCCTCGGAAAGATATCTTTCAACATGCAAGTATTAAACAGGTTAAGACAACAGTGTACAGAAAGGGAATATTCCATTGTGATATTATTATATCAAGTGTCGTTTTAGTAGTAACGGGATGCATTTTCTGTCAAGTGCGTGTAAATGAATTTATCTTTTTCTAGAATGCGGAGGAACATACTATGCTACCCATGGGGTGATTTCGTTCCCCTTTGCCCACAGTCCATCCCCACACAGTCTCCACTGTGTCTACACAATATCCCCGGGAGAGACTGTCTACCTCACAACTACTAATGGTGACGCTAATATCGACATGAATACTCTAATGGTTCGTACTGATGCCAATGCATTCCCTTTTCACTGTAAGGCGAGACTTTTTATTTTAGTTCGTTCACGGATTTGCCTACCCTAAGGAAAAAAGGGGAAATAAATATTTTATACCACTGAATACAAAAGTGTTGACGAAACATTACTGTGCAGTCAACACTACCAAAAACGACGAGACGGCTGAACAGGCAATGCCTATTTGGCCTATTTCAAGAACAAAGAATGTCTTTTTATATTTATTTCCTCTCACCTAACCATCTGGATTTTCAACAAACAACATTTATCCGCAAACCAAGAAATACAACTTTTGACCTAGAAAATATGGTATATTTCGAGGGATAGAGCACTTTCTGAAGGAAATATTAAAATGTGAAATTCATTCTCATTATCTCAACAATAGCTTTTTTCATTTCTAACGAGGCTTCAGTGATAACCCCCGCATGTACGTGTACCATTTATATGAAATCAAGTTTGTATCCCATTATTATGTCTATCCCACGTATATACATTTGCCTATTTAACTTAACTGTAATTAGTTCAGGCATTCGTCTGGTAAAGGTGTAAAATTAACCCTAAAACGTCGTTAGAAATAATCATTCGAAATTATCCTCACTAAGGTTTCCATCTTCCCTTTATATCTGATTGTTCACCTCAAGTTACCTCTACGCGGATACAATACGTATGAACAAGCTTCACTTCCAATTTCCATTTTGGGATACGGATAATATAAAATCCGTGCAAATTAGGCACGTCATGGACTACCTGGAAGTGTGTATTCTTATGAGGCGGGAAAACCAGTGCCATGGAGCATCTGTTGATAATACACCACTTTCTAAAACTCACATTGCTTTGTACAAAGCTGCGTAACCATTACATCCTAAAATGCAAAGTTAAATCTGTCAAATCGACATTGGAGCATAGCGAATATAACATGCATGTTTGATACCCGTAGAGTATAAATATATGATGAAATAAATCATGGGTCTCCGTTGTCGCTGTTGTTTTTTAAGCTTCGCCTTGCCATCCTAATTTAGTAATATTTTATTAAATTAAATTATTAAGTAATTAATTAATAAAATTATTGAATGTAATTAAATGTAATTTAAGTCCTGCGCTTTAAAAGAAAGGATGTTAACAAAAATGACTCATATTTAATATTTAGAGTTTAATTCGGCAATTGGTAAGTTTGGAGTAACATCTCTTTACAAGAAAATACTTGCACAGCCTGCTCTGATGGACAGGAACATGGCGTATTTATTCAGTACCAATAAAGTATGTCAGTGTTTACGTTGTGAACGAGTCTCCAGTATATCGCCTACTTGAGCTGACCAGCGTATCTTTTACAGTCGAGGCTCTAACAGTACATATACTGTTGCTAAAATACGCCCTGCCTTACGTGTTATAACATTTTACTAAACGAAACAAGCCAATAGAAGACATATGGGACACAAATAATTACTTAGGTTAGATCTACTTATTCAGCCACTCGACCTGTAGATATTCAAGAGCAAGTCAATAAAATAATATAGGATTTCTTATTTCCAGGCAATTTTAATCACTCAGTTGAAATGTATACATTACTTTGATGCCTCAAGCTGAAGATATTCAACAGCAAATCGATAAAATGAAATTTATCATTGTAACAATTCGAGACAGTTTAATCACTAAGTGAGACGTATATGGTCACTTGAGCTGTAACAATTTAAGAGCATTTCAACGAGAGGACGTCTACGAGTGTATTATAACAAGACAGTTGTAATCATTAACTAAAGATGTCTATAGATATATGTTGGCTCGAACTTTAGCGATTCAACAGAAAGTCAATAAACATGTATGGCTTGAGGTTCAATCCGTTCAGCGTTTGATGAGTGTCTTTTCTAACCAGGTTACCGACGCTGACGGGAAGCACTACAGTGGCGCTGACTTGGCCAAGTACAACCTGAGGAGTTCTCGGTTTGACGTGGAGTTCAACACCGGAGATTCCGACGGACATACCTTCCAAATTACATGGGATAAAAGTATAAGAACACATACATGTGACAATCTTAGAAAACAATAAATAATTGCATTAACAGTGAAGGAAAGTAGACAGTATGCATTTCAACCTTTCTTATAAACACTATTTATTTATTTATTTATTTATTTATTTATTTATTTATTTATTTATTTATTTATTTATTTAATAATAATAATATTATTATTAATAATAATCGCTTATATTTACCAATCATAATGGGAGGGCGTAGTTTGATTAACGTTGGGGCTCTTCATAATAGAATTGTTTTGGGCACTTTTGCACACATTTATTTGTCGGATGATCCTCTTGTGAAGCATGTCAAAACTCATGATGAAAACAAGGCATTCCACAGTTTTCGTAAACGAGGCAAGCATGTGGGACATAATTTCAATGTCAATGTTGATTTTGTTGATGGTTCTGTACTGCTGGGCGGTTCAGAAATGAGTATCAACCAAGCAATGTGGCATATCAAACGGCCCAGACTCAGTTTTTCAAGGAGAGGCTATATGAACGACCACTGCATTAGGTTTATATGCAGTAAGTTGAGAAGATCATCAACCTCGCAGAGTCTTTTCCTTTGATGAAGTCGGCTGTCCTGAAAAGTGAAACAGAAGGCTTTCTGTTTGCTGCTCAGGACCAGTCACTTGCCACTCGAAACCGTCAATGTGTGATTTTGCATCAAATTGTAAATTATGTAATGAATTTAATGAGACTGTCGAACACATTGTCAGTGGATGCCCAGCTTTGGCACAAATTCAGTATCTTAAGCGACATGATGGAGTCGCTCGATCATTTTATTACAGTCTTCGCGATGTTTATGGTTTTGACATAGAGGTCAACCCATGGTACGACCCAGAATATGAAGAGGGCGTCATGGAAAATGATAAATTTAAAATTCTTTAATTTTGGAATAAGCCCGTATACAGCCTCAGACGTACCAAGACCAACAAACCTGATCTTGTCCTTTTTGATAAATCCAATGCAATCATTTATATTATTGGATTTTCTGTCATTTTTGACACTAATGTGATTGACAAGATTGAGGAAAAATATGCGGACCTCGCTTTCGAAATGTCACGCTTGCATCCCAAGTACCAAGTTGTCCGACTCCCCATTGTTATTGGTGCCATAGCTGATGATGAGCCTTACCAGCCTGACCGTGCCAGGATCACCCAAACCCTCTTTGCTGCATTTTTCATTTTAATCTGTACAAAATAATAATACCACGATTTAAATATAAAGAAACTTGAATAGATTACTTCTTCCTGTGTTCTCCTGGGACATGGTGCACACAGCATTTTAGCACTAAGAGTATCGCTCTCGCCAGACTCTGTTACAGATCAGAGTTTCGACGATGTAGCGATGAGACATTGATGGAGGAAAAGGGCCATCACATAACCGGATTAAGTGTGATCGGGGTGCTTTCATTTTTTAGCCAGGGCATGCTTACTTTTTTGGCGAACATCTGGTGTCATCACTGATTATTAGTGATACATTCATCTATTTTGCCTTTTACGCCCCAAAGAATCTGTTTCGGCAGATAATCGAGACTGATTATTCTCTACTGTTGACGTTACATATTTACCATCAGTGCCCCTGGCTAATGTACACATGTGCAAAGCGTTTGATTCAATGGTACAGAACAACAGTCATATGCAAGTGATGGGTTTACAATGTATATTTCATTGTGGTCTGTTTTGGCTTCGTGAGGGTTTGAAAGTAGTTTTCTTTTGCGTTTGAGACAATATCCGTGTTTTAGGGAACATTACCCGTTTCCATGAATGAAACTTTCCGTAATTGCGAAGTACGTACCAGGAAACGTATGGACATTAACGTCTTCAATTCTCGTCCTCTATGCTGTTGAATGTGTTGTTCAGTGTGAGAATGAGGTTCTATGATCACGTCATGGTGTTTAACTGACATTGATGTCTGCAGCATTCCTCGGTTGCAACAAGACCATCAACAGCACTTCTGGTATGCTAGAATCTCCCGGGTACCCATTTAACTACGAGAATGACGTAACTTGTGTGTACACCATCCACAGCAACAATGTCACACAGATTACAATCGACGACCTTGATCTACGAGAAGGAAAGGATTTGCTACAGGTTGGTAAAGACACACTTTATTAAGATGAAAAAGACGTATCAACAAAGACATCAACGGAAAATCACTTTCATACGAAGGTGCACCAGTCGTGGATGTTGATTTTGTGAAACGTTCTCTGATTGGACTATCGAGATGTGCGATTGTCCAATCATATTCAGCACAGGAAAGTGGGCTTGATGTGACAAGGGTGGAAACAAGACTTTGATAAAAAGGCTAGTGGACGCTCTTGCCTCGGGAAGATGATAGAAAGAAACTTATCAATGCTTTAATCCTTCTGTGAATTATCTCAATTAGTTGTAATGTCTCTATATCTTTATAAAAAGGCATGTACCATAAATGTTCATTAGAAGTTCTGAGACAACTATTTCATCTTTGGGCGGTCGGGTAGTCCTGTGGTTAAAGCGTTAGCTCGTCATGCCGAAGACCCGGGTTCGATTCCCCACATGTGTACACTGTGTGGTGACCATTTCTGGTGTCCCCCGCCGTGATATTGCTGGAATATTGCTAAAAGCGTCGGCGTGAAACCATTCTCACTCACTAACTTCATCTTTAATCCTGTAAACGAGATCGACGCATAATACACCATATGAAATGTTATATGCACTGTATGTGACCCGCCAGGGGAAATGGGACCTTATCGGTGCTAGGATACAATTTTGTTGTGACGTCATAAAGAAAGATGTTTGACGTCAACTTACTTCCGTAAAACTCGCAATGTTTGTGGACTGTAAAAAATGTATCGTATGTTTCACTCGTTAGTTCGTAATGTAAATAAAAACAACATTTCAATAATAATTAATTAAATCAAGCGACAAAACCCTTTCCATATTCAATAGAAATCTCTGCATAAAGCAGAGTCGATAGTACGATTTCGACTACAGTAGACTACGGTTAAAACGAACTCGCTTATAACGAACTGACGGATATAACGAACTTACTTTTTGGACCCGACCATTTGCTGTAGTTATGCTGTATATAATGCTTATAACGAACTGCGGTTATAACGAACTAAAATTAGTAGTCCCTTTGAGTTCGTTATAACCGTAGTTTACTGTATATCATAACTTGAGTTTATGAGTCATTTCAGCAGACATGTCTTCTTTCATATAAGCAGACATTATATCTAAAAACTGCAATTATTACATAAACAACAATAAGCCTGAAAATGGAAATTTGCAGAAAATGAGTCCAAATGTTTGAATCCATGTTACTCTGTAATAAATATAAACTGAAACTGATCAAATGTATTTTTATGGTCCAAAGAAACTGTAGTTTTTTAATATTATAGTAAGAAGTCAAAATGTGAGTTTTCACCCATAAGGTCCCGTATCTCATGGTTGGTCGTGTATGTATTCATGCATATCTTCACTGTCCCAGGTGACCGGTCTTGACTACAATGGGGATGTGCAGCACGTCTTTTACACCGGCACACAGAAGAACGTGACACTAAATGGCAGGAAGTTCGTGATAACGTTCACGTCAGATGGTGATGGTAGAAGCGGTCGTGGATTTCACTTGACCTGGAAGGAAGGTAACCATACCTGTTGTGCTTAAAGGGGCATCTGCCGTAGGGACTACCTCTCTCTAATGGGCGGAGCTTATACGAGTGATCTGATAGGTCCATATTACGTCATGACAATATGATAACACACAAATCTCTTTGGTTAATGCGTAAACGGTTGACGTAATGTAAACACCCTCACACGTGGGACGTTTGACAACAAGGGCGTAAGTTTTAATGGTAATAAATATCTATCAAACGATTCCAAGAGTTTTCAACAAACGCGTAGGTCTTGGGTTTCATAACCTCCCTGCCATGTCGTCTTCACATGTTCCTCCCACTGTGATTGATGTAGACGCCAAGCACGATCGATTCGATTTTTTATGATAAAACTACAAAAAAATTATTGAATTTTATCTAGATATGGAGCCATTTGGGGTGTCCAGGGTTTGTCATTCAAGTTGATGCGAAGTTTGACGGTCAATGGTGATCTTGTTTGCGTACGGTTTTCAAAGAGCTTCTCCCGACACTCGGTTGTGTTTACATTGTCAGTCATTGTTCGAAACTGAAACACCGCCACCTTGTGGGCTATTTATAGTCAGGATGGGGCTTCAAGTCAGTATCGCAGCAAGAACACAGTGGGTCTGTATGCCATTGGGATAGGCCGTCCAGCATTTAAATGATGGACAAGTATGAACTTTAGCTTATAACTCCTTCGTAATGTCACTATGTGCGATCATGTATGAAGAATGTAATGTCATATAAACCAGTTGTCCATTTGAACCTTAAAGCGACACTTATTGAAAGCACAAAAATATGAACGACAAAACCCCTTTCTATGATCATTATATATCGTTTACAAGACAAGTTATAGTTGTTCGCTGTACAGTCTGGATGCCCTAAATTAAAAAGCCGGATTAACGGATCATTGTTTCGAAATTCGGGAATTATAAATACGAAAAAAAGCAACAAAACTCGTTGATCATTAGAAATCTCTGCTAAAACTGAGTCCATTGAACGATTCTGACTATATCGTTAGCAAGTGTTTATGAATTACTAACGTCATCATAACGTCATTTATGAAAACAACTTGCCGTCATAGTTGAACCTATAATTGAACAACATTATACCTTGCTTAATTCTATCTTGGTGCAGTATTTTCGTACATATGAACAATTTCCTTCATACATGTATGACAAATGTATCTGAGGGTTGGCTCTGGCATCGACCAACCAACATTCAAAGAGGTCACGTCGGTTCCTCCGTAAACTGGGTAAACGGAGTGTACATTCCCAAGGTACATGTATCACATCATGAAACGTTGGTTCTGAATTGTGGCGAGTTCCTGATTGTACATGCTTATAATTATAGGGATACTTCATTACTTTCTGTTATTCTCAGGTGAGTCTTGGGGCACGGGTGGCCCAGTCGTCTAAGGCGCCGCGATTCGCTGTGCAGAGCTGCGTCCCTTAGGCACGCCAGAAACCTATGACTGTGGGTTCGAATCCCGGTTCGCCCCGATTATGTTTCTAGGTTTGTCAGCACCATACCCGTGCTCGTGGGTTTCACCGAAGTGGTAAACGTCTGAGACCTGTATCACTTTGGGCTTTCCTCCTACATTAAGCTGACACGCCGTGATGTAACTGGAATACTGTTACTCACTCACTCACTCATGTGAGCCCCAGTAGGAATGTTGGTGTACACATGTGATAATGTTGATACACAATAAGTCTCTATTGTTTCAGCCGAGGGTATTTGGGATGACACATATGAAGATACGGGTAAGCGAGTATTACAATATTTCAATGTCCTTTGGGTTTCGTCATCCGTAATCTTCTTCTCCTGACTTGTTTCTATATTATGTCTGCTATGTTGTGTTCCTAGATCCCCATGGGTGTAGCGGTGTATTCGTCGGTGCGTACGGATATCTTGAGTCCCCTAACTACCCCGACAACTACTATCCCGACTCCATCTGCAACTACGTTATATATGACGATCAGGTTAAGGACATACGTCTTGAAGTCCAGGACTTTCAACTGGTGCCTCTTGAAGACTACCTGCTGGTAATGCCTTTCACCAAAAGAGAGCTCTTATTCAAATAAATACTGTAAACTGTTCCCAAAGGTCACACGTTTAAATGTGTGCTCATATTATATACCTTAATTTGTTTCTGATGTCGCTACTTTGAGTTGACTATCCGCATACCATCCTCGAGTAACCAGGGTATTAAATCTCTAGTTTACTATCATAAGTACCCTGGACCCACTCGCTATCATAGCTTCCTTATGACTCACATCGCAATTACTCCAGGTGTGTTACGTATTTGTCCGATCAAATACATTCATGTGAAAGAGACATTCTGGGCGAAGTCACTGATAAGACAGACGGGGATGTGACGTCCAGGTTTTTATCATGGAGATATACAAATACTACGACTAATATTTTGGATGTCTGTGTAAACATCCAGAACTGTCTGGTTCGTATATGTCACTTTTCTTGTATGTTATCTTAGGGTATGTGTGTGTCTGCGGGTCTGTGTGTGCGTGCCTGCGTGTGTGTGTGTCCCTTAGCCGTAACATTATCCGCATGCCGTGTTCGAATTCCAAATTTGCTCCGATTATGAACCTTGGTTTCACCAAATTCACAAACGTCCTTGATTTGAATCCCTTTGGATTCCCCTTTTACATTAAATTGATCCGCTGTGATATAACGGGAACACTCACTTCTACATTATTTGAAGCATATGTGTACCATTCCAAATATTCTGCTTTTATATAACGTCTTTTATAGCTATAACACGTGGCCAATCAGTAAACACTACATTATGTTACATGTATATTGAAACCCTTTTGGAGCTGCCTGTGAGGCTCTAGAATGTTAACAGTCATTACACTTACCATCTTACCCTACCGGGTACCCATTTACTTGTAAGCTGTCCCCTGGACACGCCAGAAACCTATGATTGTGGGTTCGTATCCCGGTTCACCCCGATTATGTTTCTAGGTTTGTCAGCACCATACCCGTGCTCGTGGGTTTCACCGAAGTGGTAAACGTCTAAAACCTGCATCATTTCGGGCTTTCCTCCCACATTAAGCTGACACGCCGTGATGTAACTGGAATACTGTTAAAAGCGGCGTTAAACCCAACTCACTCACTCACTCACTTGTAAGCTTCCACAGCAGTAATCGTCTGGATGGTGAGGTTTCCGTATTAACCGGGGTTACTGTGGACACGTCATATACTTCACAGGTTAATGTTTCTGAGCGAGGTGAGCTGTCTGAACACATCTATGGGAATTACACTGGTGACGAGTTGCATCCCAAGTACAGCATAAACGGGGCTTACTTTGATTTAGAACTGGTTAACGATGGAAATGACACTGCTCGTGGCTTTCGACTCACCTGGGCACCGCGTAAGTTGAATACACTGTACTTGTCATTGTATAGTTAATTAAGATCACAGGATGTTTAACACTAGATATTTGAATTAAGTATACCCAGGGTACAGTCAGTTGTGTCTGTCTGTTCTTGCTTGCTGGCTGGCTGGCTGGCTGGCTGGCTGGTTTGTTTGTTTGTTTGTTTGTTTGTTTGTTTGTTTGTTTCTTCGCCGCACGCAGCAAATATTCAATAATGGCGGCATGTTTTTAATCGAGTCTGGATTAGATCCTCGAATCAATGTATGTCTTTATAAAGTAACGAAAATATTCCCGTCTCTAAAACACACACAAACACACACACACACACACACACACACACACACACACACACACACACACACACACACGCACACGCACACGCACACACACCTCAGCGGCGAAGCTTAGAGCTGGGACTTGATGGTTGTTTAAAAATAAATACGAGGTAAGGTGACAACAATTCAACACGATTGTGTAGCCTTTGGTTTGTTTAATTTAGCAGGTGCCAATAGGTTTAAATGAGTGACTTTTATATTTCATGAGATATCGAGCTGTGATTCGAACCATGTGCGAAATCTTCAATAAGGACCAAGATGGCGGGTGTCACGCCTTGTCTATACCTATAGAGAGGGGTGTGATTTTTTTCTTTACAAATATATTATGCTAAACACGCTATCATCAAGTTCCTGTGGGGGCTTGACAATAATTGAGTCTGATATTAGATCCTCGAGTCAACGTATGTCTCTGAACACACACACCAAGCAAGTGTTAACTATCAAATGCCTTTCTAAGATCTTGGTTAGGGGCCGAGGGGATAGGTTTTCAAGGAGGATTATTTCAATCATGAGGAGATTCTGGAGGTGTGTTTATCATTTTGTCTTTCAGTATCAAAACATGTCGACCCGACGAAGGAGGTGGCAGTCGGTAAGTTAATAAGCTACTTCGATATATGCACCGGACTGCACAGTGGATGAGGATATGTCAGCTAACAAAGAACTGACTTCAGTATTTGTGCACACAGTGTAAATACGCGTAAACACGATACATATGCGGAACTACAGCAGTACGTTTGCGAAATCACTGTCTGTATGTTACAGTGGTAGTACACGAAGAGGTACGTACTTATGTGAAGTAGTGTATGTGTTTTGAATGCACATTATAATTATAAAAAAGTATCGTTAGGATTGAGCAATATTCCAGCAATATTACATCGGAGGACGCCAGAAATGGGTTTCATTGATTGTACACATACGGGGGTTCGAACCCGAGTCTCGGCATGACAAGCGAACGCTTTAACCACTAGGCTATCCCATACCCCCTTGTTAGATAACATACTACTGTGAACGACTTGGTTGCAAAGATAAAGGCTAAATAACGTTTGAAACCAAACTCTACATTGAAAACTGAACGTGACTATCAAACGGATTCGTTCTTGTGGTTAACTATAAAACGAATTCGTTCTTGTAGTTAACTATAAAACGGATTCGTTCTTGTGGTTAACTCGAAAAACGGATTCGTTCTTGTGGTTGACTATAAAACGGATTCGTTCTTGTGGTTAACTATAAAACGGATTCGTTCTTGTGGTTAACTATAAAACGGATTCGTTCTTGTGGTTAACTATAAAAGGCATTCGTTCTTGTGGTCAACTATTCAACGGATTCGTTCTTGTGGTCAACTATAAAACGGATTCGTTCTTGTTGTTAACTATAGAACGGATTCGTTCTTGTGGTTAACTATAAAACGGATTCGTTCTTGTGGTCAACTTTAAAACGGATTCGTTCTTGTGGTTAACTATAAAACGGATTCTTTTTTGTGGTCAACTATAAAACAAATTCGTTCTTGTGGTTAACTATAAAACGGATTCGTTCTTGTGGTTAACCATAAAACGGATTCGTTCTTGTGGTTAACTATAAAACGGATTCGTTCTTGTGGTTAACTATAAAACGGATTCGTTCTTGTGGTTAACTATAAAACGGATTCGTTCTTGTTGTTTACAAATTGATTCGTGGAATATAATCCAATAAACGTAATTGCAAGTGATTAGTGTGTATGTGATTTAACGCTGCCCCAAGGAGCATTCCAGTGTAATAATCTGGACCAGACAATCCAGTGATTGATATGTTAAACAACTTTCCACGACGTGGCGAACTATGATATGCAGTCAGTCAAGTCAATGAACCAGACCTACTGGTCCCGTCATTTACGCGGTAGTATGGCCGGGTGGTTAAAGTGTTTGCAATTACAAGCAAAGTTCGAAGCCCTACATCACCACAATGTGTCAGGCCTATTTCTTGTGTCCTCACCCGTGATGTTGCTTGAACAATGCTTAAACGTCGTAAAACCGTACTCATCCACTACAAGTTATGGTGTTGGCTACGATGTATTCAATATATTATTTCCCTTTAGTGGTTAAAGCGTTCGCTCGTCACGCCTGAGATCCGCGTCCGATTCCTCATTGGCTACAAAGTGAAAACTATAATCTTGGCGTCTCCCAACGCTGCTGGATTTCTAATTCGGTGAAGACACCCACCCAGCTCACTCACTAACTCACCTACCACACTCAGCCACCACTCACTCACTCACTCACTTCCATTTCTTTACGTGTCAGAGTTACCGCAGTGTCAAACTACGTACAACAGCCGTTACGGCGTCATCGAGTCCCCCAACTACCCTCAGTCTTACCCAGTCTTTGCGGACTGCTTCTACACCATCAACATCACGGAGGAGGTGGAGCTCATCCTGGATGACATGGCTATAGAGGAGGACTACGATTTCGTTGAGGTATGTGGCATACAAGCATTGCTTCAGACTACCACTTAGTATTTCAATATATAATAAATGAAACAAAATGTGAACGCTGATATTGAAAATAGCCGGTTATACCTTTCTTTTTCACCAGAATGGTTTTCCTATAACTAAATTAAATGCAAATAATCACGGTCATGGTTGCAGGACTAGAGTCTAAAATTCTCTATCACCCCCCCCCCCCCCCCCCCCCCCCCCAAAAAAAAAATGTATTGCCAAATAGCTAGCTGGACGCACGTATTTTATCTAGTTTTAAGGACTATTATATTAAAGACCAGCAATAGGGCAGACATGTAATACACATTAGCATTTTCTGCCCAACCCCTCCACTTCCCTCTCCTCAACCACTTCCCAAGCCCCCATAAATCCTAATCCTACATACCTATCTGGGCGAACATATATAACCCCTCGACTGGTAGTAAGTCCAATGTTTATATTGAATGCAATGAGTTCACATTCATTCTCGTGCGGATTCCGTGTAAGATAGTTCCCCAGCAACCTTTGGGTGGCCTAATGGCTCGGTGACTTGGTTGATTGTGTCGTCGTACCCGGCGACGGTACTCAATATATTTAACAGCGCTTCAATCAGTTGCTGCCATACTCATGACATTACGATCACCATAGACAAACATAACCTTAGGTACACGCATTCCCTGTTGATGAAATGGACAAAACTCGGCTACAGCGTTGTCATCCATCCGGACACGACTTAAGGGGATCCTTCCTTTGCCACTGTTAAGAGATGGGCTGTGGAGTTTAAAGGGGTAGATGATTCAAGATCCGAAAGACCTCAAGAAGCAACCAATAAGAAAACTGTTGATAAAATACATGATGATGATGATAGACTACTCACCATGACAGAGGTTTCAACCTGATGAGATCCAAGACTTTGATCAGTAAGATTCACCATTTCCCGTGAGAACTTACTGGTTTTGTTGAGGGATTTGTAATTATGGATGAGTCTTGGTTTCACAACTCGAGACTACACAACATCTCATCGAAGAAGTAAAAGACTGTTTCATCAGCTGGCAATCCTGCTGGTGGACTACCTCCCGAAAGGTCTGATCATTAATGGCCAATATTATGCTAATCCGCTTATAATTAGGCAGCTGCGTGGGAATATCAACGTTAGACTGTCTGTAAAGCTTTCAGCAACGCTAGCATGGAAGTGTTCATTGGAAGTGTGCAGTATAAGAACGAATCACGTGGATATTAATTTCAAATATATTCCGAGAATTACGACACAGGTTTTCCTGCAACATGTTTCATTGGTAACCTCGTGGTTGTGACATCGAATTTCAGGGGCCACCTGAATAACATTCATTGAAGTCTGACATTTGTAAGCGGGCTTGGGCATCACGTTTTTACAAGTTATCTGTGGAGTGATGGGCAAAGTTTCTGATGGTATAATCCTCCTCTTCTGTATATTTCATGTGACAGGTTTATATATTTGTGTCGTCATCTTTGTTAATTCTCTAAGAACAACTAAAAAAATAATAAGCTTTGATAGGAGTTTCCAAATAAATAAATAAATAATAATACATGTAAGCGAGCGCGCGCGTCTCCTATCAAAGCTTATCAGAAACGACAACAAATAAATATAAACGTTGACACTTCTCCTATGTTCCACCAGATAAGGAGATACAACGGTAATGAATACATCACCATACAGAGCCTCACAGGGCGCCACCGTCTGCGAGATGACCTGAGCTGGCGGGGAACGGGGCTTCAGGTCTACTTTAGATCCGATGAAACAAATGGAGACAGGGGTTTCAGATTCACGTGGAGAGGTGATCACGTATAAATAATATATAAACGTAATAGTTAATTAACGCCGCTTTGAACAGTATTTCAGTTATATTACTGCGCGTCAGCTTGATCAGCTTGATTTGAGAGGGGGGGGGGGGGGCATTAGTGATATTGGTATTAGACTTTTACCACTTTGGTGAACGAATAATGGACGCAACTCAATACCGAGATTTCAGGGACACAACTCTTTACAGCGAATTTCGGAACCTTGCACCGCTTGTCCAGCCCTGCATCTCGGTGTTGGGAGCTGGAGGTGAGATGAGGTGAAATGGGGTTTAACGTCGCGTCCAAGATTTTTGCATTAATATAGCGACGTACATGCACGTGTGTGTGTGTGTGTGGCTGCTTGTACTAGTCTTGACTAATGCCGATTTATAGTGCCGCAGTTTAACATGAATACCCCACTCAGATACAGTATACTGACTCCGAGCCGACCAGTCGTTGTTTTAGCTCTTTAATGCCGAGCGCCAGACAGGGTAACAACAAGACATCTTTTACCGTCTTTTTGGTATGACGCGGCCCGGGATCGAACCCCGGACATTCCGCCCTCCGGGCGGACGCTCTACCACTAGACCACGGAGGCGGTCCAGGAGCTGTAGGATGTTAAAACATAGACTGGATTAAGGACAGAGATGGTGGGATGTGTTATAACGCATATAGCTATTTTATTGCACATGTGCATATGGACAGTGGTACCATTTAATGTATGTGTGGAATAGAACATGTGCAAGGGACGAAAATGATAGACGAGAGGTCGTTACACAGCATAAACCAACATCAATTCACTCAGTCTGAACTATGTCCAATCCTTCTCGCTTTAGCACAAGCTCCAGGAGGGGAAGGGGTCTCCAACCACGAAGAAGGTGGTGAGTAGCAAGCGCTATATTATCCTATATTAAACATAAATATGATTTGTAAACACGTGCCCATTTTGATTCACGTGGGGAACTGGTTAGAACTGATCCCAAGCAACCTCCCTTGTCGCCCATTATGGATTGGGTTGTCATATTCGCCGATTTGGTTCATTGGTAGCCGACGACATGGGACGTTGCTCATGATATCAATCACTTGTTGGCTGATCCAGAATTCATTATTATTTCTGGACAATTGCCGACTGTGTCGTTTTAACCCCCCTGGAGTTATTTTCTTTTGACGCACACTTTTATGCGTTCTTAAAAGTGAACATTGTGCGAGAATTGCTGTCGCGAGGCACAAGGTGAACCTCTTACATTTCCTATTCAGGGTGAAAAAGCAATTGTAGATATGATATTGGTTTGAAATCACTCACAAGTGCCTCTCATTCAAGCTGTCAGAGACATCCTTGTCGAGTGCACCAATAAAGGACTCTGGGTGTCAATTCCAATCAACAGTAGCACTGAGCTTTTTCCGAACATATCAATGTCTGACCTGACCCTCGATGACCCGAGCTGTACTAGTAAGGTGTATTCTGACGGCTGCACACTGTCATCCCCGCTACTTGGATGTGGCATGACCCGAGAGGTAAGAATTACTTTTGTAGTCACCCAAAAAACCTGATCGTGTGTCTTGTTCAATGTAAGGATATGCACAATATCATCTTGGTACTTGGCATGATGTCCTTTCGAACACAACCATACAGTGAATGAGTGAGTAAGGTTTCATGCCGCCTTGAACAGTATTCAAGTTATACACAAGCTTGATGTGGGAGGAAAGCCCGAAGTAATGCAGGTCTCAGACGTTTGTGAAACCAACGAGCACGGGTGTGGTGCTGACAAACCGAAAACATAATCGAAGCGATCCGGGATTCGAACCCACGATCATAGGTTTCTGGCGTGACCAGGGGGCGCAATTCTGCCCAACGGGGCGTTGAGGAACACATGACCTAAATACGTCACAATTTACTTGCTTTATGCACACGGCGCAAATGCTGTAACTACCGGCTCGGACAAATACCTTGTCTGTCTGACAGTCCCTGAACCATAGACCGCCTCCGTAGTCTAGTGGTAGAGCGTCCGCCCGGAGAGCGGAAGGTCCGGGGTTCGATACCCGACCGCGTCATACCAAAAGACGTCATACCAAAAGACTATAAAAGATGGTACCCTGTCTGGCGCTCGGCATTAAGGGGCTAAAACAAGGACTGGTCGGCTCGGAGTCAGTATACTGTGTCCGGCATCAGTCCGGACTAGTACAAGCAGCCACACACACACATACACGCACACACACACACGTGCATGCACGTCGCTATATAAGTGCAATAATCTTGGACGCGACGTTAAACCCCATTTCACCTCACCTCACCCTGAACCATATTACTTTCACTTTCGCCATGCCCTCACTGTAATGCTAAAGCCCCCAGTCAAGTAAAGTAAGACTAGATTTTCCCTAGGTTCAAAATATGTTCTTTTCCATATATAAGTAGTTATTTGTTTCTATCAAAGTACATATTTCCATAGACTAAGCGTTAAACATAAGACCAGCGACGATTCAAGCAACGCGATTCTGTGAGCTTTGTAAGGTTTGTTTCTTCCTTCAAGGCCTCTTTGACGGCTGCATGGATTCTACAATGGTAGAGTTCCAGGAATAATATATAAACAGTGCTCTGTGTGGCACGACGTGTATATTGTCGACCTCAATTTATATTTATAATGTAGAGTAAGTATGGTACAAGTAGATATAACTGCCTGGTGACAAGTGTTACAGTAGTTTCATAGTGACTAGTGTCGGGAAAGTAAGTGGACTAGTGTCGGGAGAGTAGGGGGACTAGTGTCGGGAGAGTAAGATGACTAGTGTCGGGAGAGTAGGAGGACTAGTGTCGGTAGAGTAGAAGGACTAGTTTCGGGAGAGTAAGATGATTAGTGTCGGGAGAGTAAGAGGACTAGTGTCAGGAGAGTAAGAGGACTAGTGTCATAAGGATACTCATTAGTAAGATGACTAGTGTCAGAAGGACAGTAAGGACATTGGTATCAGAAGGATAGTAAGATGACTAATGTCAGAAGGACAGTAAGGACATTAGTTGCAGAAGGATAGTAAGATGACTAGTGACAGAAGGACAGTAGGGACATTAGTGTAAGAAGGACATTTACATTAAAGTCAGAAGGATACTTAAATTAGTAAGAAGGTTAGTGTCAGAATGATGGTCAATAGGTTAGTGTCAGAATTATAGTAAGTAGGTTACTGACAGAAGGATAGTAAGTAGTTTAGTGTCAGAAGGATAGTAAGGGGATTAGTGTCAGAGGATAGTAAGAGGACTAGTGTCAGACGTAAGGAAATTAGTGTCGGGATAGTAAGATTACTAATATAAGGATAGTAAATGGACTAGTGTCAGAAGGGATAGTTAGAGGAGTAGTGTCAGAAGGAAGGAAACTTAGTTTAAATGGATTAGTGTCAGAAGGATACTTAGTACACGTTTGTCATAAGGAAAGTAAGAGGACTAGAGCTATTAATATACTTATAATAAGACTAGTGTAAGGATAGTAAGATTACTTGTGTCAGAAGGATAACACATTTGACGTGTTACCCATATACTGATACGTTTGTTCTACCAGGAGACTGACGACTACATCATATACAAGAACACTATCCGCATCCCTCATGAGGGCGAGGATGTCATCACCCGACATGACACCCTGGACATCCCCGTGGAGTGTCACATGAGCAGAGAAGCTTCAGCGGTTGGCTACTACTGGCCCAAGCACAGAAACATCATGATGGCTCTGGGGTTCGGCAACTTCACCCTCTACATGGACCTCTACCGCGACTACAACCACAGCGACAGGATCTCCACCTACCCCTGGACAGTTGAGCTGGACGAGGAACTCTTTGTTGACGTGAAAATGGACGCAAAGGATGCAAACCTGAAAATAGCCCCCAGAACATGTCTGGCTAAACCGTCGCTTAGTACTGATGACTTCTCGGACGCCTACTACCTCATCAGGGATGGGTATGTCTGCCTTGCTTTGGGCAGTGTCTGTTGATGACATTAGTTGTTATGAAAGTGGTATCGATATTTTTTACATATTTCTGTTGTTGACTTCCACCCAAGGTTCAAATGTTATGACGGAGATGAATACAGAAAACATTTTTATTTAATGTGCACATTATATGATACTTTAGTACATGTTAACACTTTTTTTCATTTCAATTATTTTCTTAACACAAAAAGATTGACGTTTGGGTTTTTCCTCAAAACAAACCATTAACTATTTTCACCACTGCCAGCAGAATATTCGTTTTTGGGATATTTCTGAACCAACTATTCATTTATAAAATATTCGTCATTATTAGCACGTAGAGCATTCCCCGGTGTGGTGTGGAAGTGTAGCCTCTATATTAATGACCTTCATCTTATTCATATTATTATTAGTATTTAGTCTCTACCTGTTTGATACATCTTAAGTGAGTGAGTGAATAGCTTTTGACAATATTGAACCTAAAATAATGTACTCAGGGAATCGAACCTGAGCGGCAACCCAATTGTTTGATTGTTTGATTGTTTGATTGCAACCCATGCTTGCTGTAAAAGGCAACTTTGCTTTTCGTAAGAGGTGTCTGGTCCAGACTCGATTATTTACAGACCGCCGTCATATAACTGGAATATTGCTAAGTGCGGCGTCAAACAACAAACAAAGAAACAAACTAAAACATTACATACCATTCAGACTCCTTCTTTAACCCATTTCGGAAATAAGCGCTACATTATTTTCAAACTCGGATCCCTTGGGAGTATTCAATGCAGGCTGCCTGTTAGGTGCTAGGAGGTCAAAGGTCACATCGGGTATCCATTCAATGGGTGAACAGAGGCACATTTCAAACAAATGCTGCAAAATGTGTTTTGGTCAGGAAGCACTAGTTGAAAAGATTTGGAAAATATCTGGAGACTCCCAGTTGACGGTACACATGCTCTGCAAATCCTGCAATGGACCAAAATCTGAACAGTAGTTGCCATGTTGTTTATAAACCGGATATCGATTTCATGGTATCCATTCAATGGGTGAACAGAGGCACATTTCAAACAAATGCTGCAAAATGTGTTTTGGTCAGGAAGCACTAGTTGAAAAGATTTGGAAAATATCTGGAGACTCCCAGTTGACGGTACACATGCTCTGCAAATCCTGCAATGGACCAAAATCTGAACAGTAGTTGCCATGTTGTTTATAAACCGGATATCGATTTCATGGTATCCATTCAATGGGTGAACAGAGGCACATTTCAAACAAATGCTGCAAAATGTGCTTTGGTCAGGAAGCACTAGTTGTCAGTTCGGGCGTTCCTTATACATCAAACTGAGATGCCGTGATATGACTGAGGTAATATTTAAGGCGGCGTTGCGCGCACAGATGTAATGTGTTAACCAATGTTTGGTACTTTCGGCGTGTTATTGCTGAAAACTTGCGAAACACTGCATTCACTCTCAGTCTCAATCTCACTCTCACTCACTCTCGACTTGGGGCGGTGGGTAGCCTAGTGATTAAAGCGTTCACTCGTCATGCCGAAGACCCGGGTTCGATTCCCCACATTGGCACAATGTGTGAAGCCCGGTTCTGCCTTCTTCCCGAGGCAAGAGAGTCAACTGACTGTTAAAGTCCAGTCTAGGCTTGAATTTCATGGATAGATCACAGCGCCACCAGTGACTTTTACGAGTTGTGTCCCTTCTATGTCCCTCCTATTGACCAATCAGACTCCACCTCTCATATCACTTGTATTTGCTTCAAACACAATGGCAGCGACCAGTCAACACGATCTGAGCGAAAATAAGGATCTTTATTTTAAAACAAACGGGACTTACCTCGCGAAGTGCATCCAAACACTTAAGCGCCTTGATTAAAAACAAGAAAAGATTTGGAAAATATCTGGAGACTCCCAGTTGACGGTACATATGCTCTGAAAATTCTGCAATCGGCCAAAATCTGAACAGTAGTTGCCATGTTGTTTATAAACCGGATATCGATTTCTTTACGCGAATTTGATTGGACTATGCATAGACCCGTTCATCCAGTCAAAAAATAGACTCCATAATTCCAGCCTCGTTTGGCAAGGGTGGAAACTGGACTTTTATAGTCAGTTAACTCCCTTGCTTCGGGAAGATTAATTCTGCTATCCATCGTAAAATTGCTGGAATTTTGCTAAAACCGGCGTAAATCCTAACTCACTCACTCCCTCTCCACAGGTGTCCCACTGACCAGACAGTACAGATGGGGAACTCAACTCCGACACACATCGACTTCCGCTTCCGGACGTTTGAGTTCATGCGCAAGAAGGAAGACGTGTACATATTTTGCCATGTAACTGTATGCAACGGATCTGATGTCAGCCGAAGATGTAACAGTGATTGTGATAACCTCTACCGGAAGCGCCGTGACGTCACAGAGGGAAGTGACCATGACCTTTACATCGTCCAGGGACCACTCAGGTTCAGTGGCAAGAGGAACTCCGGTGAGTGAAATTTTAACATATAAGTGTTTGAGTAGGATTACTTTCAAATTGACCCCCTTGGGACAAAAGAGGATCGGTTGGACAAGTTCGAAGACTTGACGTGGCGTGGATGGCTTCTTATCCTTTCATGATCCGTCACTTGTTTGTGACCAGATCGACTATTAACAGACGTCTGGGATATTGCTGGAATATTTCTAACTGTGGCGTTAAACAACATTCACTCATTTATTCACTTTTGAGTTGTAAAATTATCAATATCATATATTTATCAAATCAAATTAATTCTCTCTTATAGATCGTCATTTTCAAAATGTGACTGATGTGTATTGAAAAAGTATATATCTTAAAACTAAAATTCCAATTCTAATAATAGCCCAGTGGTAGCCTAGTAGTTACAGCGTTCGCTTGTCATGCCGAAGACCCGTGTTCGAATCCCCACACTGGTACAATGTGTGAGGCCCATTTCTGGTGTCCCCCGCCGTGATATTGCTGGAATATTCTTAAAGCGGCGTAAAACAATACTCGCTCACTCACTCATTCACTCACCATTGCATCAATATTTAAATATTCACTTTAATAACATATACATTAATTATTTCTTTTGGGGAAAGGATTTATACATGTACATGGATATCTGCTTTTCAAAGCATGCGATTATTCTTGCAGATTTGTCCGACAGTTCTGGCAACACGACAGGTACGCTTGTCGCAGTAGCTACCAGTATGGCAGTGTCGGCCATGTTGGTGGTACTGGCTGCTGTTGCTATGGTGATCGTGAGAAGGAAAAAGGCTCGGAAACAGTCGAACGTTTCACCAAGCTTGTAGATAATACCAACTGGAACGAAAGAACTGAAAAACAATGCAATTTGACATCAACAAGCACTCGAGCCTGTGTCGCAAACACGATGCGAGGCGACGAAAGTGTATCTTCAGTGTAAAGCTTTTGGTTTTATGATATATAGTTCATGCGCAAAGATGGATGTGGGATGAATATCGACTGGACAGACATTTGAAAGACTTTTGTTTTTGTACTAATGTATTAGTTCATTTTCCAGGCTCCAATGAGAGCTTATAACAAGGCCATAATTATGTCTAGTTTGTTTTATTTCAAGAACCTGTTTTCAAGATAATTATATGGGTATATTGGTGGAAAATTCGTAAAACAGAAAATATGAATTTGTCCTAGAAGATTTGAAATAAAGTTATCCTCATTCACATTTTTTTCCATATGAGTTAAATTGATTGCCAAAATCCAAGTTTAAGGTCAATATGTATTCATTGTTCCCACTCAGAGGATACGGAAATAACATTGAAACTTATTGTGTCCAAGGGTCTACATTTGTATGGTTTTGAGAGAAAAAGGCTCGTGAAGCACTTTCTTCAAGTATTATATCAATAACTGAAGGTGAGCTTCTGTACCTCAGGTACTGTTGCTTATTGTCAATGTACAACGGTGCACTATTACAGGTCGAGGCCAACACCTCAATATATATATTTAAGCATTGATATTCAGTGGAAGTTCAACTGGACTCAAGTGATAATTGACTGTTTATTAATGGAGTGGATGAGTAAGAAGGGATTCCGGTAAAATTGTCCCTGAAAATTCTTGAAAAAAATAATCATGCTTCAGACCTTTGGAAAAAAATGCCACACACAAAAAGTGTTTTATCTCATAGTTTTGCATCTGAAGCTAAAAAATATCTAAAAAATATCTAATCTCGATACAAAATTCCTGCCCCCAAGAATATCAAACGGTCGGGCCCTTCTCGCCGCTTTGAACAATAACATCACCGTGAGGCAGTTGTGATTTATTTCTACCCAGATTTGCGTCGCCGTGTCGTTTTGTACACAGATCATACACAATAATCAACTTTCCAGCAGCTCCAGGATTTGGAATCTACATTTCACACCGTTTGAGATACAATCGACCGTGCTGTTTCTACGAAGAGCGTCACAAGACTCTTGCTCAAAAGTTGTTTGATCAGGGTATCACCATTCAGGGCCGTAGTAAAGCTTTCAAAACAGTCTTGGGGTAAAAGTTGTTTTATGTCTGATACAATTGCTTATTTTAGATTTACCAATTTTTCCAACGTGTTTGGTGTACACGTGGGGACCATTTCCAAATTTGATACATCCGTGACAAAAATGATGTCCTATGCAATTCCCTACTTTAACTTGTACCATATGTTCCCGTTGTGAGGTGAAAAATTGACGTGCCTTTGCATGTGTTCTACTACACCTGGTATCATCACAATTTGATGGTGATCCATAAACTGATATAGGTAAAATCGTACACTGGACGGTTTTCAGCAGAGATTTCATATGATTATTGAAATTCTTTTACTGCCTTAACCGTACAACTGAAGGCAAGCTTCGTTAAAATGATCCGTTAACCCGATTATTTGTTTCAGGATATCCAGTATTACGGCGAACAATTATTTTTGTCGTGTGAAATCATACTAAATAATGTATTATGTTTTACAGTAATTTCAAGAAAACAATATTCAAAACATATAGACATGCATACCCCAAAAAGAATGTCAAAAGGGCGGCCTTTTTGGACAGGTCACAAAAGGTTTTATTGTGTCTTTTGAAAGGAGTTTCGTTAAGTATGGAAAGATCTTTTATAACCACGGCGTGCCCTGAGCTTCACCACTCAAGGGAATTACTGAAGACATACTGAGTTATCTCCCTTATCATGCGCAAACACTCCAGTCCTCCTGGGATGAGATGATGTGGTATTGTCGCCCTCTTGTTTGAAACTCCCACGCCCCTGACTGTCTAACAATGTCGCTACTATCTCTCTTTGTTCTGTGTTCAGTATTACCTGTGAGTATATTTCTTTTACCTTTCTATTGCATTCTATTCTATTGTTTTGGTGGTAAAACGTATGGGCTGAACGTTGAATTATTATTTTACGATCTGAATTGATCAAAATACTTTTGCGGAATGTGATTCAATATTATGTGAACTTTAAAGATACTTCTTGATGATGTATATGATTCGGGTTTATATAAATAAATACCATCACGTGTTATTGTTTTGTTTTCTTGTTACTTTCAGAATCAAATCGCAGCTTCAACAGGTATGTACCTTTGTGCGAGCGGGTATACGTGCGTGCGTGTATGGCTTCGTATACTAGTCCAGAGTAGTCTTTGTTGTATCCCTTAATAACAAACGCCAGGCAGGTTAACAGCAAGTACCATCTCTTAACGTCGTTGGGGCGGTCGGGTAGCCTAGTGGTTAAAGCGTTCGATCGTCACGCCGAAGACCCGGATTCGATTACCGACATGGGTACAATGTGTGAAGCCCATTTCTGGTGCCCCCCGCCGTGATATTGCTGGAATATTGCTAAAAGCGGCGTAAAACCACACCCACTCACTCACTCATCCACTCGCTATAACGCGGGAGCGGATCGAACCCCCAACTTTCTGCTCTACGGGCAGGCGCTATATGTATGTACGTGTAGTATTGTGGGCACTGAGTAGCTTGTCAGTGAAATCTTATGTTAGGCCATGATAACAACAAAATTTCACCTCGCGCAGCTTATTGAAACAAAACGTCAATGCCACAGAATACGCAGTCTCGATTTTCTGCCGAGACAGATTCCATTGGGCGTGAAAGGCAAAATATATAGTTCTCAAAATTATATGCATGGATCTATGAACATCAGTGGTGAGACCAGGTGCTCGCGGAAAGGGTAAAACTAAACCTGACGTGACCTGTAATGGGATGTCCTCAGATCGCATTTTATTGTTTGTTTGTTTGTTGTTTCACGTCGCACTGAGAAGACAATCCAATGTTTGACATCATGAGCATGAATCCACGCAATTGGGATACGACGGCATGCATCAACCAAGTCAGCGAGCCTGACCACCCGATCCCGTTAGTCGCCTCTTACGACAGGCATATAGTCGCCTTTTACAGCAAGCATGGGTTGCTGAAGACCTATTCTACACGGGATCTTCACGGGCTCGCGTTGTAATGAGATTGGGGTGTTCTTTTACTCTGTCTGTCTGTCTGTCTGTTTGTTGCATAACGCCGCACTCAGCAATATTCCAGCTATATGACGGCGGTTTACTGGATGAAATAGGAGTCGATCTAGAGTTTAGATGAAAAACATTTTTTCCTTGCATCATGGCTGTTATTAAGCATAATATCTTCTTCGAAAATCCCGATAACCTTGAGATAAGTATAGAAACTTGTTTACAATCAGACTATGTGAAGTTGTGGTGTCAAACTATTATTGTAATGCCCTTGGGCCAAATCTGGCCTGGGCATTTCAACGGAGATAAATATCAGATATCGCCCTTAAAGAATAGCGTGAAGGGAAGTACTTGGAGATAGCTACCGGGCCAAGTAAACAGAGTTTGTATTTAAAGCGTTGCCTGTCCAGTTTTAGATTTCCTTATCAGTGACCCGACAACATTTCGTGTGTACTTTGCTTCGTCAAAATTTTAAGTTCATGCATTAAGTCTAATTGCTTTACGAATGTACTGGCTACAACGACCAAATCGCACAAAATGCACATCCGGTCAGAATATGTGGACTGGTTCAAATGCATTAAGGGTATCGAAGCGCGAAGTCAAAGATGTAATGGAATTATATCAACCCATTTTGGGGCACTCAGTCAATTAATTTATTTTCACTTTTCAAATTTCGCGCATGCCCCGACAGTCAGACAAGGCAGACTGACAAGCAGCTGATTGATACAAACTGTACAAAAAAAACAATGTTCCAATAAACACTTTTTTATTTATCCATAACAAACAAATATTTACACGTTTATGTTATCTTTACACTGACAACACACCAAAACCTGCTTTAACATTACACTTGAAAATTGTATTCCGGAATTATCCGGATTTTAACATCTTTGAAATTATGACAAGAAACTTTCAATGGATGTATTATTAAACAACTTCATATTTTCCTTACATGTACAAACATATTCGGAAATGTACTCTAGGTACTTGCCACATTTTGTAAGCCTATTACCAACATAACTTCAAATGTCTCTCTCAATCGACAACCGCAGCAGCCGTCACAACATGTGCTTTCACAACTTATGATCCGGATCATTCTCCGGGTCAAAGCCTTATAAACTTGTCAAATTAACAGAAACTACTGAAAGAAGCTCTCGTAAAAGGAAATCCCAACCTTGAGCACAAAATGCGATCTCACGAAAGGTCCTCGTGTACTGCATGCTTGTGTTGTGTCTGTTTTAACTCCCAGACTGTATTTATATCTGATTACGCAGTATTTTATTACTTTGATGCTAAAGCTTAAGTCAGATAAAGCACGCGTAACTCGACATTCGTGACAAATAGTGATTTTACTGGCTCGAACATTATTTGTAACGAATGTTTGGGTTGGCAACTTTCCAACAGGATACCATGTCATGATCAGCACTTTGAAATGTGCAACAATTGTACTTTAAATACAATTTTCTCAATGACATTAACAATATGTTAATCATGCGTATACGTTTAAAAATTAAATGGATCATAAACATATGGCATTTATTGAGTACACCATTAAAATGTAGCGATTGGTCACAGGCCGCAAACCTGAGACAAAGGTACTCGGTTGACCGCAAATAACTCTGGGTAAGAAAGTGCCTAACTTTGAATCTGTAACGTACTGAGTACTCTCTTCTGGGTTTTTTGTTTCTGTTTGTTTGTTGTTTAACGCCGCACTCAGCAATATTTCAGCTATATGACGGCGATCTGTAAATAATCGAGTCTGGACCAGGCAATCAAGTGATTGACATCATGAGCATCGATCCACGCAATTGGGAAACGATGACCTGCCTCAACCTAGTCAGCGAGCCTGACCCCCCGATCGCGGTTGTCGCCTTTTACGGCAAGCATGGGTTCCTGAAGACCTATTCTAACCCGGATCTTTACGGGTCTCTTCTGATGAGTACATGTAAGTTGTAACATATTTAAAATTGATGCCGTGAAAATTTATCTCCTTACAGATTCTTATTCTGACAGTCTGCAAGTTCTGACCAGTCTAACCACATCAAGCACAGTGCTGGTGGCGTCGGCGGTCGCCGTGATAATCTCGGTTGTGTGCCTGCTGGCTCGCAAGAAGAAGGTTTCAGACACCGAACCCCCTTCCCCTGTCACAACGTACCGGCGGAAATCGTTTTCAGGATGAACTGTTTCCTTCATGGTACATTATACCTCTTTCATTAAAACCATCTTATATCGATGTGTCCATTGTTCATTCGTTTACCTATATTAAGTTAAGAGCGTACATGTATGTCATACAACCACAGGTTTGTT